TACGCCATCAATGGACCAAATGGGCTGTGAGGTTAATGGTGATGAGCACAGTCTGGCTGTTTCAAAGACACACTGAAACCAGCTTGCTTATAGAGAAACAGTCCTGCAAAGGACATTTTAGGAACTGAGAAACAGTTAGAAAAGCAGCATAACCAGGCTGGTTCTAGCAGCCTTTATAATTGCCTTCAGGAATGATTGTGGTAGGCATTATCAAATCTACTGACTACAGCTTGCAGATGGAATTATTCCAGCTGTCTCCTATGCTTAGATGATTCACAGCATTTTAAAACTGATACAGCCCTATTCATCACAGCACCTACCTATAAGTTTTCATACTGAGACTGAGGATAAAAATTAAGGGAGAACAGAAATGAGCTCCTAGATTTGAATCAGCTTCAGCAAAAGCACGATTTTTTGCCTCCCTACTGCGCAGTCATTCTGGCCTAATTTGTTCATGTCCCCTGTGAATCTGTAGTTGCTTTTACCTACGTGACATCCAAGTGAATGTTTTGGATGAGTGAGTTCTACATCCTAAAACCCTGCTTTACCTCAAGAGTACTTTGGATCCAGCTTTGTGCAATAGATTAGATGGAAATACTGAACAGCAGAGCCACAGTGAAACATTTGCTCAAAGTGGATATTATCTGGATGTTTTTGGTCTTCTGAGACACCTCATCCTCCTCCCTGCAGTACTGTAGCCACAGAATAACCAGCACACCAAAGCCCCCTTTCCAAGCTAAGGCCTGACAGACTCATCACAAGGTAGATAATCATTGGCAGTGCTTGCCCAGTCCCTGGAGCAGCAAGCAAGGAGGGGATATGGTTTGGCTCACTGTTCCAACGGTCCCTCGAATTGGAGAAGTCTTTCATAGTCCGTCTTTTGCTTTCCAGTTGCTGGGAGCACCCAACACTGACAGCTAGCTATGATAAATTAGCACAATGCCATGCCCTTTTAGTGCTTTCTTTTTCAACCCCTAGTAGGTTAGGGGGACAGAAAAATAAAAAGGTATTAAAATATGCTTTAGAGTATGTCCTGAACACTAACCACTTAGGACTATTTCAGACCAAGGCTGGAAATTCTCAAGTTCCCTATGGGACATGGCCTGCCGATATTCTCATTTGTTTTAAACCATTGGTAGTTAGTGCATCAATTCTGCAAATAGTTTGCTAAAGCTCGCCCCTGAATTATATTACTTATCAGATGCAAGTGAAGAGTAATGGTCAATATATGAAATATGCTTCATTGGAAATATTTTAGGTGAGGGGTTTGTAAGCTGAGATAGGTTGAAAACCACTGCATTAGGCCATTCATACTAAGACACCTCTCCTCCTGCACATATATCGAACATAGTTCCCTACTACCTCAGTCACTAGCCACAGTTAGAGAAAAAGAAAAAAATCCCCCCAAACAGTGACCAGAAGGGTACATTTGTTCCTCCACAAGAGGTAAGGCTACTCTTCAACTATCAAATCTATTATACAGCAAATAAAAACAGCTTCCAAGAAACCTTGCAAGGGTGAACTGTGCTCTACTCAAATTCTTAATATACCATCATCGCTGTCTGGAGGTCAAATAAATCACTACTCCTTTCCTGAATCCCTTCTGGAAAACCATGAACATACCCCAAAGTTCAGAAGTGACACACACAAATTGTGCTGCCATGCAGCAGAATGGTTACAGGATAACAGGTATAACGTGACAATGAGGAAGTGCTTCGAGATTCCCATTTTGCCTCGGTACCCAGATGTTCTTTTGTCATGGCTTTGAATCCTGAGATAAGCAGATACTGCAACACTTCCAAATGTTCACCTTCTGGAAAAAAAACCACCACACAGCTACATGCCTACCATTAAGCCTCAAAGTTTAAAGACATAAATTGATGAGCATTATGTGCCAAATTCCCTTTAGAAATAGCTTATGTGATTCACTCTTCCTATGGCAGAAATATTTCATGCCAGATTAGTTACATTAGACACAAACATTGTGCCTGCACAGATACCCCTATGGTGACAAATGAGGCAATCTCTTCCCTCCTCCATTCATCTGTCCACAACAGTCTCAACCTCTACTGCATGGAAACAGCTGTTAAAGCCAGACCAAAGTCCATCTGTCCCACAACCTCTGTGTACTAGTGACCATGAGACACTGGTACGCGCTGGTTTAAGGTGCAGGGGATGCATCAAGTGACCCTTATATCCTCCCAGATCCAGCAAAATAGAAAGAAAGAAGACAAAGACACCCAAGTTATCACATAGTGGGTAACATTTAGGTTTCTTTCACTGGCTTAAAAGAGGTGGAGTTACAGAAAGCCAAAATTGTTCATGCTGAAGAGGCAGTGCTGAATTACTGATTTTTAGCAGTTCAATCTGTTTCTATGAAAATTTTCCTCAACTGAAGGCAAGCAAAATAAGTCCGTGGCTCTCAAGCCACTTATGCAATCGAAGCCTGTAGCTGCAGAGAATGAAATACCAACACTAGGCTGTTTTATTTTGACTGGTCCAGCATCTGTAAAAAATCTTATTAATATTTAGAATGATTCATTTTAATGGATCTGCTAAGCAACAGCCCTTATCTGGAAATAGCATACTGCATGAAATCAAAATGGACAAAGTATGTCACCACTAATCAGATACACAGCGGGACTTGAACTCCTTTCAAAGCAACCAATTTCTGACAGCATCTGCTGGACAGGTGACCTACCTTTGTGATGGTCCAGAGCTGTGACACACCAGTTACAAAGCCTTTGGTGAAATAAAAGGAAGGAATCTTCCTTGATATTAAAGGACTGCTGCTTTTTTGTTGTTTATCTTTAAATGGATACTATTTTAAGAGCCTGTCTCCATGGGCAAGTATTTTTATTCTAACAAATTTAGATTTGGCATAGCCTCTAAAACCAATAAATCATTACCACCAGCCTTCTTGAAACCATCTTTTTTTCCTCATAAGCAATTTCTTTGCCAGCAGAAAAACCTGCAGAAGCTAAAACAAAGCAAGACAAGAAACAGATGTCTCAGGCCTATCACTGAGCACAAGCTCTAGGCGATGTGAATGAGTGTCCCATTTGATAAAGAAGCATAAGAACAGCAGTAAATGCTGCTTTCTGGAGATACCATCTTCTCAGTTCTTCCCCTCTACCAAGCCCTACAACACTAGGTTTTTAGGCATAATGCCCAGTATTGTCTGTAACAGGACTCGGGACTATAAGCCAACATAAACTGCCTAGGTTCAGACATCTTACTTGCTTGGCAAGCTATTTTAAAATATTCCAAGAATGCAGATATGTAGATTTACACACCTCTAGGACCTTCCTCTTATTCTTGTTTATTTAATGTTCAACAATAAAGAGAACAAAAACAACTGGAGGTTTGATCCTGCCTAGCCATTCTGGGTTGCCCTTTGTGCTCTGAAGGAGTGTGTTTCATGGAAAGGATGGGAGAGGCTGTGGTCCCACGTGCATGTGCTCCTTATCCTGTGATGCAGTCATGGGGGAGAGCACAGACCTGGACCCTTCCCTCTCACATCTGCTCCCATTGGCAGGGGTTTTACACTGAAAAGCCAAACCAGAAAAGTTGTGATTTTCAAGCAGTGAAATCAATGTGATGCCCAAGAGAGATGAATTAGATTAGATATACTGCATTTATTGAAAATGCATAAAAAAAAATAAATCTGTGTTTGCATTGCTAAAATTCTCATGACCACAGTTCAAGCAGAGAACACAGAGAAGGAAAGCAACTATTAGGTGCCAAGACTGCAGTTGCTGGGTGATTGCACGTGTGTTTACATAGCATTATGCCTCAGCCCTTGCTAAGCCAACACTATCAGACATTTCATGACAGTTTCAGTTGCTGGAGTAATTGAGGGGTTGCTATTTATTTAGGGTTCTGACAGCTGGAAGAAGCTGTTGTGCCTCCTATCAGGCACTAATAAACAACCGTCACTTTGTGCTCAACAGCAGAAGTCAAACGATGTCTGACCAAGACTCCTCTTGTGTGTACTGTATAAGAAAAATGTTTTAAAATAATAGGTCTCTGCAAGACTTACAAAAAGCTCTAGAAAAAATATGGATCAAGGATTGGTTGTAGCTTGTATATCCTTCTTTTAACACTGCTATTGTCTTTCAGAATTATGCTATTATTGCTCAAACAATGCACTCCTTTCTACTCTCCAGGCTAAGCTCAGAAGGTTGTAAGAGGCTCCTGTCAATTAAACTCTCTTCTGTACAAGAGGAGGATATGAGCAGGGCTCCTGCTTCAGCATCCATTCAGGAAAGCAGGCGTTCCTGCTGGATTATTAAGGCAAAGTTTGGGAAATGGTCATTAAAGAGAATGAAAACAAGAAACAAACGATCAGATGAAAAAGGTCAGATCCTCCTGGGGGGACCAGGAGGCAGTGTTTTTCTCTCTCCATAACAAAGGAAGCCTTAAGAATCCTGGATCCTAACTCAGGCATCTCAGGAAGATGAGATGGGCTGTGATTCCTCTAGGGTAGGTCCTCTATCCTGGCATCTCCATGTCTTCAGCTTGAAATCCCAGCCAGGTGACTCAGGCAGAGGCCTGACGACAAAGGAAGGAACATCCCACGGACTCATGAAACAGGTTAGCTCTCTGAGAGGAACAAACAGCAAATCTACCAGGACTCAAACCAGTTTTAGCCTCGGTGTGTGAACAGACAAGAGAGCATTCAAGGAAAGGCAGCTTTTTACAAAAATCGCAAAATCCTTCCAAGTTAAAGACAAAGGCTCAGAGCCAGTTGTTTATGACAGTGGACTTCCCTCTGGAAGAGTCATTATGAACAGTGTTAAGGCAGCAAATCACAGCTTACAAATTCCAAAGCAACAATTCATTCAAGGAAAAAAATGCCTTTCCATATGTGCTCGTACACATTATCAGCAAGATCAGAGAAGTTGTGCATCCAAGTGGCCACTGCTCCTCCTGTGGACTGACATTGTGCAAGAACGCTGACACTTGGCAGGAAGCCATACCAGCTGGCCTCCCTGTCCCTAATGCTGCTGTTGGGTCACCATCCTGACCATCTTCAGTGCCATGTCCCCTTGATCAGATGGTACCTAGCACAGACACAAGAGCACATGGTAAGCAGCTGCTATAAGGAAGCAGACAGCAAGTGTATATGCATCTTCAGTTTTCTTGCTCATAATGGTGCATCCCACTCAAAGAAGAATATTATTTACCATGTGCCCAGCCTTAAGAATCCAGAAGAAAGCAAAGTTCTCATAGGCCTTGTAGAAAGCAGCTGTCTCGGTGGATTCTGGAGACACGTAGAGTGCCTTCCACCTTTTCTGGTTGAACTGGTCCAAATTAGGCCATTTCAGTTTCCGGATCCATGCCTCCTGGCCTGTTAGAGATAAGAGATATGCTCGATTACCGATACTGGTACAGCAACTTGGGTGTCCCAGTTCAGCTGGATGCCCACTGTGCTGAACACCAATACAGCAGAGTTAGCAGAAAGACTTTTGTGTGCCGACTCTAAAAACAATTTTGCTATGCCAAGGCAAATGACTAAGGCCATGTTCAGGACAAGCTAAAACGAACCAATGGAGGGAGAAGGCAAAAAGCAAACAGTGAAGAGGCATGTGAATGGACTTATGATTGCACAAGCTGAACACGTGCCTCTTAAAGGTTCTGCAGTCCTAAGAATTCTGACATACTTTTTTTATGCTTTACTCCTCAAGCACCTTGAAAGTCTTGCCATGGAGCAGGATCAGCCAAGTCCTCCTCTTGGAAATCAGAAGAGACACTGCCTTTTGTTACAGTGGCTCATCAAGATGATCCTGGAAAAGCTTTCTGTTTTCAGATGCCTGATAGAGAAGGTGGAGGTCAAGAGAGCAAAAAGACCAGTTCCAGGACATCAAGGGGGTCTAAGCTTTAGCTTACCTCCGAACTACTGGAAGAATTTACATGTTAACAGCAGCTCAGTTCTAGCTCAAAATGTGATAGACTGCAGCTCCACTAACTGCTAATCTGTTTTGACAGCCTAAATACTCTGTTTCTCGATTCGTTGATTGCTATGTTGATCATGAAGGGTATCTGAACATCTAAGTGGGCAGAGACAGACAAAGGATAAAGCCTTTCACAATATAGGAAGATGTTTGCACAGTCTGTGACTGCAGACTATTTTAATCAATAGGAAAAGGTGAATAGAAGAGAGCACGTCAGTCTGGCAGCATGAGGCATTCCAGCAACACTTGCCCTGGCTCTCAACCTGCCACTTGATCCAGCCTACATCTTGCAAGCAGCCAGGGACAAACAAAGCCCTTGAAGTGGCCAAGACCTGCAGGTGCCTACACAGGTTGCTGAGCAGCAGATGTGAACACTCCTCAACTGCACCCTCCCTGATTAATTACCAACACCCTTGTTCCACCTCACCTGGCACCATGCTCTCTGCTGCAGGCCACTCTTAAGGCTGACCTGTACTGTGCACAGATCTGTAGCAACATACAGCCTCTAACACAAACAACAGGATCTTTGAGGCACAGCAGAAGAGAAGATAATCTCCATGTAGTTTTTAATGTATCTTCATTTCTGAATGAGCGTACATATACATATGTATGTGTCTATCCAGAAGAAATGAGTGAGTTATTAGCTACCTACTTATTAGCTTCACTGAAACAAACAATTGTTGATGTTGCAGATCCATTTCCCAACACTATAATAGAAGTAAAAGGAATTGCCTCTCTCAGAGGGATGTGAACATACTAAAAGCCGCTCATTTATGACTGTAGTATTTCAGCATTGCCAGTTAGGTGGGAGATTTGCACAGACAACTGGGGAGATCCAGGTACCAGTATTACTGGCAACTTCACACCCTACTCAATACATGTTCTGTTCCCAACCCCAGTAAAGTAGTCCCTTACCCATGGTGTCAACAATGAGATCCAGCTGCCCATTATAGACTGTAACATTGACATTGGCTGCTAAAAGCTGATCAACAATATCAATGACTGGTTTCATGAAGTCCTCAACCATGTTCTCAAAGACGTCTCTTGACTGACCTGGTTGGAACCAGAAAGAAGAGATTTTAACTGATGAAGAATGTCATTTCCAAGCTGGGACAGAAGCAACTGGCTAAGAGTTCTAAAATGCAGTTCACAGCTGCATTAAAAAAAAAATTTAAAAAAAATCAGTGCTAGCTCAAATCATCAGCCAGTGATTTAGGGTAACTAAAGAGAACCAGAAAGCAGTCATGCTCTCACTGGAGCTCACGCACAGCATTGTAGCTTCTGGCTCCAATTGTACATGGATCAGTCCTTCAAGCCTTCTTTTCTGTTTTACTTCCTCCCCTCCACACTATGCAGCATTACATGATAGCAGGTTTCTGGCCAAAAAAAACCTGATAGGAATTTCGGCAAGACTGCATGAAAGACAGAAACCACCTGCTGAGACACAGAGGATCTTCTTCATCCCCCTGTAATTTTAGCTGCCTGGCTAAAGATAAATATCAGCAGCAGAATCAGACCCGTATGTGCTCCCATGGGCCTGTCCCGTTACATGCTCATTGCTGAGAACAAGTCCTCTTCTTGGGCTCAAGGACAATGACAATTTAATGTGACTGTTTACTACAGTAAAGTACCTTCCTACAGACTGCAATACTGTAAAGGGCAATGATGATAGCAGACAAGAAAGTACCTCCCCATTTCACACAGTCGGGAATAATTTTTAGCTTCTCCCTGATGGGTCCATTCATCAATTCCTTTAGGCTGTCCTTATGCATATTTTTGACATGGCGTTGGTAAAGTCCTACTGAAAAGGAGAACGCATTTTGATTACTGCCACATTTAAGACTGTTATCTTGTAGATAGCAATTTTCAGTGTTATAGTCATGGCCAGCAAACTCTCTTCTAATGAAAATTCAACACCACAGAGAGAGATTTGCTTACTTTTACTAGAAGCCACTCGTATCAACCCTTATTTAGGTCAGGGGATGATATGGGAAGAGCCCAACCATCCATTTCTACTTTTGCCTAATGTGGAACTTTCTCAGGGAACCAGCTTCTGCTTTAGCCTCTTGGTACAGACACCATTTCTTCTCCTCAACAGACCCATTATTTTTGAGCCACAAAGCCTAACTTTCAGGAGTTAACTGTGCCATTCACCTTCATGTTGAAACCAACAGAAAGAAATAAAGAGCTTGAAATAAATTCTATACATCAGTTTTTCCCATTGATGCATAAACATAATGGAACAATAAACTCTAATCAGGCTGTTTATACTATGAGATATTTTTGTGTCCTAGCTTGAAGGCAGAAATGAAAGACGCTAAGAGGAAGTAACTTAAAGGTCATAAAACTATGTTGCAATTATACTGACTACTTCCTTGGAGTAATTTGTGCAGGATGTATAGGTGGAGGCGTAATTTATAGAAGGGTTGTTCCACATTCCTATTTATCCCTGTTTATGCAAGGGCAAACAAGTTCTGCTCAGGAGAACATCAATATCCTTTGGATCTGAAGGCCCCGTTTTAAGGATGTGCTAAATTGAGGCTGTTCCCACTATCAGAGTTGAAGGTACATGAATGCAAACACAGGGCCTCAAAAGTTCAAGTACTTAAATACAACTTACTGAGATGGAGACTTTCTTGTTCATCTAATCTCATTTCTGGGACGTCCTTAGTCATGATGTTATAAAAGTTCACATTGTCTGTGTTCTGAAAACACAAGAAAATTTCAGTAACACTGTAACAAAACCACTTCTCAGATATGAGGAACAGTCTCCTCTGAAAAAAAAAAAAAAAAGGAGGTAAGTAAATTTTAAGTAAAGGACTCTGATTTGCCACTTCACCTACATGTTAGGAAGGCCTTATGGAAGTTAGGAAGTTTTTAATGGAAAAAACTTTGGTCTACTTTTGCTTTGGAAAGAGTTTTCTCAAGTCCGTATTGTTCACAGATGGGTTGTGCCAGAGGTGCTATTTACTTCTCTGAAACGGATGTGAAGCTACAGGAAGCCTTACACCCTACAAATGACTGCAGATTCTCATTACTCATTATAGAGTTGCAATGCCAGATGATGTTTTCAGGTAGTCTCTTCTGCTAGATCTAGTCTAGCCTGATGCTGTTTCTTGCTTGGCACCCCACCAGCCCTACAACCCTTCAAAATTTTAAATGCTTCCTTGAGAACATGGTGATAGGTACAGCCACCCCTCTTTTGGAACTGCTGACATCTGGACAAGTATTAGGAGTGCCAGCCCTGATGCAGACTGCCTGCATCCAAAGGACAAGTGTGATCCGTGTTGCCATTAGAGAAGTTACCCAAGATTCCTGAAGCCCTGCTTTATTCAATTTTTGAAGCTTTAAAATTCTGATGTATAAGGTCAGAAATCAACTCACAACAGCAACTGTAGAAGAGCTGAAGCATCTGCACTCTGACAGCAATATCACAACTGAGAGGAGAAGACAAGCAGACTTGAAAAGAAAGGCAAAATGGGAACCACAAGTTCCTTTCAAACATTAAGAAGTGAAACCAACCATGTGCAAGGCACTCAGTTATGAAACAAAACAAAAGAGCACAAAAACGAAGCAGCTCCAGATTAGTCTTTCAGTTTGATGAAACCAGAGCCTTACTTGTACTAGAAAAAACACAGGGGAAAGTGAGACTTTTGGAACAATTCTTCAACAGGAAAAACAAGAGCAAATCTGTACCTATCTGCTAAGCTGGAACTTGCTAATTAATACGTGGTAACCCGCAGGACATAACTTGAGGTTCCTTTCCATCCTATGCACCCATTGTAGATCTTTAAATAGAGATCTGTGCTTAACTTGAAATTTCTATCTTGCTGGATGCAGTTTTCAATAGTCAAAGCAAAGCTTTCAAGGAGACATAGGTCATTTAAGTTGAAACTGGGTTCTATAGGAATGAATGGGATTAGTTGCATGCTAAAAATTAAGCATCTACTTAAGTGATGTGTCATATTGAAACCTTGATGCAATACTACAAGCCCATCTGGGTCACCCTGCCTGCTGCCTCTCACAGTCACACAGTAGTGCACAGCAAACAAACAGCACTTTTACATCAGCACTGGAATAAAATGGCAAAAAAGACCGGGCAGGGGGGTGGAGGACTCATGTCAACCCAGTGCTCACAAAAAGGATAACCTGAAACTGTGTGCCTCCCCAGGTACCAGTTAGTTATTAGTGCTGGTCAAAGAAGATCTCACCTCTTCAATGACTTCTTCAGCCTTGCCCCAGAGCTCAGTGGCCAGTCCATATTGATTTTTGTTTATTGCATCCATTATTTCTTTGGCAACAGCAGTCACCTCTGCTAGACCGTTATCATCAAGGAGAGACTGGAAGACAAACACAAAGGAGGGCAGCTTTAATTATAATTTCACATTAATTTCTCACTAACAGCCTCCATGCATTTAAGGTTTTATTCTGGTTAAGAGCTAACCTGAAAAATCAACATCCATTTATACAATATGGCTGTACGAGTAATAATGAGGTGAGGACAGAGTTTAAGAAGGTACTTACAGTGCTGTAAAGATAGGGCCCCCAAGACAGCACAGAATCTAAAGAAACAGAACAGATTTCAAACATCTAAGTTCTTGACATACTATTTCCTTTACTTTTCATTTATTGTAGCAAGAATGATTGTGACAAAAGTACCCAGAGATTAATTAATCAGTAATAACGTACTGTCAGGTCAGTTTAGCCCAAAGGTTATGTACTACAGAGCAGGCTCTTTACAAATCCCGAGAACCAATTAAAGCATTGCAACACCATTAGCACCCTAAATGTTAATCAGTGAAATTTATTTAAAGCAACAGACATGTTCTTACCAAAATGTTCTCAACACTGCTAGAACATGGGGAGACAAGTGAATGGGCACTGTGTAAACCGATCTATTTGCAAAAGTTACAGTGGAAAAAGATCTAGCTATAAAACAGATCTGTTTTATAAAAAGTTTGTTTGTAAGGTCTCAAGGATCAGCTGATGGGAGACAGACAGGAGTCTGCTTGGTATTGTCCATGCTGCAGAGACTCTGTGAACCCTGCCCTTGCAAATCTCATTCAAGGACTACAGGTCCTTTAATGTGTCTTTTTTTGTCTTCCACAGACGTACACCCTATCTCTTCCAGGTCTGTGATCATATCAGTTACTCAGCCCAAGGTCATCTTGGGAAAATAAGAAGAAAACCTCATTTGCAACCCTGTGAATCATTTGGTGGCCACCTTAAGTGCAGTACTTTTACCAAAAAACCTCAGTCTGTAGAGATGTGTAGGGACTTCTCACCACCACTCTACTTCAAATGCAAGTATGCTCCTCACCGACTTTTCATGATCTAGATACACTCTAAAGGTAGATTCTTCAATCACCACTTGCAATGTTGAAGTATTTCTTTCTGATTTAACAGAATCACTAGACATTTAATTCATTTAAAGCTGGGCTGGCATTTTTGACTCTAGGTACCCATGGAATGATAAAAATACCCACAACAACAAAACAACAACAACCACCCACTCACAGTCTGAGGATTTTAAACGTACCCAAAGGAGAAATCCATGAGTCTCCAAGAGCAGCTCCTTTAAAATTGCACTTTACGGTCCCTTTTTGAACAGCCTTGGTGAATAAGAGGAAAAACAAACAAAATAAAAAAAAAACCTTTTAGTTGGATATTTGTGTCTCTAGAACCAGTTTTAAGTGAAAAAAATAAGCAGCAGTCTGAATTAGGCACCAGGGACAGTGTATTCCAGGAAACATAAGTACTTGCAGAACACCACATTTTAAAGTAAAAACTACATCCTCCAACTACTTACGTCGTGCAGCTCTAAAGCAATGCCAGCAGCCATTTTACCTCCGTAAGATTCAGAAAATATGTAGAATGGGATGTTCTGGAATGAGAGAAGCCACACAGTGAACCCGCTGGGCTGAGGGCAGAAAATACCTCCAACTGTCTCCTACAGTCCCCAGAACCCAGGCACTCATGTTCACCTCTTGCTACCAAACACTGGAGATTTGTCTGATCGTAAGCTGCAGATAAGACTTCCGTAACATCTTGGTGTAATTCCCGGGGGAAGTTTTGAAGCAGGCACTTCAGTATTTTGCAACTAGAAACAGCCATGATCCTATATGCCTATCGATTGCACGATAGACAATAATCCATCAAACTGCTGATTTAACCAGCACCAAGTTTGAGATACCACTTCTGAAATGTGGGAAGGGTTATACCTGCACTGACTCCCACCAAGCGCATGCTATGTAGTTGCAAACACTGCCCATCTGGAAGGCTCTTCACTAATTCCCTTTGAGATCTTTCAAAAGCAAATTAAAATATCATTCTAGCCAAGAACTCAAATCACTTACCTGGAATTCTGTTCTACACGTGAAGAATTCTCTAAGAAAAACCATCATATCAGAAACTACTGTGGTAAGGTTTTTGGCAAACAAGCTGCAATCATCCACATAACTGAATCCAGCGCCCACAGGATTATCCACAAACAGGATACTGGCTGCCTGCAACTGTACAAGCAGAAAGAAGGTTTGTACGAAACCTCAGTTCAGCAGCAACGCAAACCTTAGTTTTGATGGCACAGATGTTTCACTGAGCCACCAAATCTCCAGCCCTGAAAGAGCTCATAGAAAAATTAGGTATGAGTCCAGGTGAGACTTGTCTATCAGAATGTAAATAAAAGGGTTTTACTTTTGGGTTGATGGGCTTCTGTGGAATTGCTATAGCAAATGCTGTAGTTGTATAATTGCATGTGTACAAATAAAAATCAATAGATCAGCACACAGATAGCTAGCATCACTCAAAGCAGTGACGCTCACAAAGAAAGAAGTACAATATAAGGTCTTTCAACTTGCAACCAGAAAACCATAAAAAAAATCCAAGTGATCTAAGGGTAAATCACTCATACAGATCTAGGGAACTCCAGAGCAGTTAAAATATTAGCAGCTTAGAGCACAAATACATGCAATTGAATAAACTTCCACCTTCATAGGCAGCTGTAATTTGTTTTCCCTTGAAGGCCATACCAGACTTGTAATTACTAACCATTGGTTACAGACTGCCAACCACCCAGAAAAACCTCTATGTCTGTACGCAAAGAAGCTACGATCCGAAATAACATCTTGCTGAACTTCCCTGCTCTGTTTCCCAGACATCTGCGATTTACAAACTCATAGAAGCCCACACGTATTCCATCAAATCAAATTAACAGGTCTATTCAGTTCTTAACGAGGATATTAATATAAAACATTTCATTACCCACACTATTTTAAGATTAAATATCATAGCTGTACTGAATTTTAGATGACAACTGTTCTGTGATGATAGCAATCATTTCCTTACAGAAGGAACAAACATTCTGCAACCAGTAATTAGAGGCCGAACTCTCTACTATACCCAGGTTGTATTTCTTGGTTTCATTTCCTTGTCTAACGGACCAATCTCTTCAAAGTTCCCAAATCCACAGCCTGAAGCTCCTGGACCTCCCTGTGGGGAAATACCAAATGACGAAGTTAAAAGGCAGCATGGTACAGATATGACAGGACAAAAACAAAAGCAAGACAGTAAGTAGAAGATTGTCATTTTTTTTTTAAATGGCTTTTGCACTACATGTTAATTTGCAAAGAAGTCTCTTCCTTGTCTTTCATTGTGTACATGTGCCATTTCTGAAAGCAAGAATTTAAACAGAGAAGCAATTACCAACATGTGAAAGCATCTAATGAGTTGCATGCTATGTGAGTGCAGTCTGAAAACCCTTCCCCTTATTTCCTTCATACAGAATGCAAAAGTTAGCTATCTACAGAGGTTTGCAAGTCATTAGTTTTATCTGCATGTACAGCATGTGCATTTCACTCAGAAGAAATAACCCAGAACAAAAAAGACCAAGTCATCAAGTGATTTTATTCAACATTAACTTCTGAGAGGTACTGCTGTAAGGGATGTGGAGCACACACCACTGCCTTTTATCAAACTCTGATTGCATGGGACCAATCTCTAAACAATCAGAGTCTCTCTTACATGTTTCTATTTAGAAATCTTTCTAAATGTCTGCTCATTTTATCTACTCTCTCTCTAAACATTGTTTAGACTGTAAGCTCTTCAGGAGAAGAGCTGTGATGTTACAAATGTACTTGTAATGTCTGTCACAAAAACCACGACTGTTGTATGAAAGATAAGAATGACATCTATTTCTGCAGTTTAACTTGATGGAAGGTGAGCAGTTGAGAGCACTTCACAATTGCAAAGTGATATTTTCATTATTTCTTCCTAACCTGAATACCTCACTCAAGGTGAATCATTTAGAATCAGACAATTTTGAATCCCATTTCTGCAGAGCTGTAAGATACCCATCAGACTGAACCAGGCATAGGTGGAAAGCTATTGTTTAAGTGTCTTTCACCAAACCTTACCTGAAGCCACAAGATGAGAGGTAATTGTGTGAAGTCTTTCGTTGGGTTATTTGCATAGTAGAGCCACCAGAACATGTGGGCCTTACTTCGAACTTGCACATATCCCCACAGCTCTTTGGGCTCTTGGGATTGCCTCAGAACTGCACCTTGGAGGGGAATAAAAATAAAAGTCAGCTAAGTAAAAAGGCTCAGCTTTCAGCTAGTCACCAGATTTGTTCCAAAACATTACATTTCAGTCTTGGGTGTGATAATTAAAAGTGCTTCCATTAAAAAAAATTACTATAAGAAACCTGCCTATACTTACACCCACACACACAGCTGAGTTATCATGAATGAATGAAGTTAAATGCGTAATTAAGTACTTACTTATCAGGGCCTGATGCTACAGCAGCTGCCAAAGTAGCAGCCCAATAGCTAGGAATATTTTTTTCTACCAACGAGACACTTAAAGTTTTCTGAAGGCCTAAGCTAAAAGTACAGCCCCTCTAGACACAATGGAGTAATTCCCACCAGCTCCAGTCACCACAGTTCCTTCAGGGATCTGACCCTTTGATCTCGCTCTCTGGGAGGATCAAATCACTTTACAGTCTCCATGGAGAGTAAATACAGGACAGACAGAAGGGTCACTTCTAAACGAACCCAACTTCTAATCCTCAGTTCAGTGAAATCTTGTCAACTTAAGTAGTCAGTCTACTCTCCAGCAAGGACACAGAAACTTTCCCAGAAACAGACCTTAGAAACTACCTCCCTTACTCTTTTTGATCATGACAGAAGGCAGCAGTCCACTGGTGAAGCAGTGCTAAAGCTCTTTGAAGCCACAGTCCCCCACAGGTTATATCAGTGTGGACAACGTCACACTTTCTTGACCAGCACTCAACCCTGATACTCCAGGTTGCTCCTTGCAGCCCAAAGGGTCTCACAGGTAAAATGCTGTGGCCGGGGACCCGTGCTCCTGCCAGGTGGCACGGCAATAACCACACGCTTACAGGAGCTCTGGCCTACAGGGCTCCTTCGCGGTCCTTCACTGGTGCTGAGGATCAAGGAGGGTCTAGGGGTCTTTTTTAGGAATGAAAACAGGGTAAAGCAGATAAAACCAGCGACAAGAACCCCTGTCCTGGGTTGTGGCAAGCCTCTCCCACCCAGTGTACCCAGGTGAATCAACTGGGACCTGAATTTCCACGTTTTTGCTCCAAAAGGGCTCACTGGGGCTCGGGGGAAGCACAGACACCCATCAGCCGGGGTGGGAGGAGGCGAACCCCAAGGTCACGGCGATAGCCCCATGTCGGACGGCGCAGGGCCCCGCTTTCGCCAGCTCCTTCACCGCGACTCGCCCCGCTACCACCACCGGCGGGGACGAAAACCTCGCGCGGCTCAGCCCAGGACCTTC